TTAGTAGTTTGTGCTATAGAGTCGATGTATACTACTGCAATGGGCTCAGATAGGCGCACACACTTCTTGGGAGGCAACACTGTTTATTAACAACAACCTCGTAAACACCGTCCTGCTCTGACTAACACACACACCGTCACTCTCTATCTCAGACTCTCAGATACACTAGCATGACCCAGCCAGGTGGGCTACTGGCGGGTCCACTGACTGGAGGCTTGACTCTTCTTCTTCTCAGGAGGCGTCTTCACGATCCCTCTTCATTCTTGACATGGGCAGCCTCGAGCCCCGATATCAGCCTCGGCGAGTCCAGGCCCCACCCCGGTCACGCCCCTCTTCTAGAATCCTCTCGAAGCGCCCCGGCTGTCCATCTGGCCACCCAAGGTCCCCCCGGGGCCCCCGGCCCCAGAGGTCACAACCGGGTACCCGATACCCGTACCCTACCCGAAACCCAGCTACCCGAAACCCAGCTACCCGTACCCGGCCGTACCCGGCCGGGTACGGGTACCCGTTTGCGACCCTGGTACGGCCGGGTACGGGTAAGGAATCAAAACCCGTTTGCGACCTCTGCCCGGCCCCCACCTTGATAGGTCACGTGTCCAGCTGGGTTCACTGAGAGTGCCACGGCCTCACCCAACCTCCAAATCCCTGAACCGGCCCAGACGTCATTCCTGCCTCCAGGAATGACGTCAGGGCCGGGGACTTCTGCAAGCCTCTTATTATTTTGTTGGTGGAGAAATGGACAAACGGTCCACCTGGGCTTTCACAATAGCTTAGTATCTGTGTATGTGTATGTAATGCTTTAAGAGAAGTTTTGAAATATATTTTTTGCCTGGGCAACGCCGGGTACTTCCCGCTAGTTACCTATATATTACTAATTTGCTGTGTGGCACATTACCCAATGGGGAAGCGTACACGTTAAACAAAGGTGCTGTTTGCCTCTGCAAACGTGGAAAAAAATGGGACAATTTTAATTAATAGTTTGTTATTTACTAATTAGTGATATTTTTCAAGTGTGCAATATACGTGTTTTGTTTCCCCATTATGGAGTCAAAACTGACCCTTTGCCTTTCCCATGACACGTCGGTAATTAGGCACGAGCTTAAATATGCACGTCAGTTCTGGCAATGCTACTCCATGGCTGAGAGTCATTAATTAAAAGTCCTCAAAATTGAGCTCTCCAGATAATAAATAGCCATGCCAATCACAGGCCCAGCTTATAGATTCATAACCTTGAAAGGCTGGATGAATACAGGCATGGCTTGTCCAAAGTATTTTTCATTAAAATTCTGAAACATACACTTGAGAAATCCACACAGATCTGCTTGGTGGCTTTGGGGAAATGTGGATGTGTGGGGGGCTGCTTATGGGAGCAGGGCCTGAATATGCCCCTCACCACACTGCCATCTCCTCCAATCCCCCCCCCCCTTTCTCCCTCACGTCCTCCCCCACCTCCAACCAAAGTAATCCTACTCTTTGGTTCTTTCGGTAAAGTCACGTAGGTATAAAATATAATAAGTAATCCTCTCCCAAGCTACTTCTTCACTATCTTCACAAGCAATTTTATCTGGAGGGCACTCCGTGGATTTTTCACCCCCCATCTTTTTTTAGTTTATGTTTCTTGGGCATCGGCAAAAAAAAATTAATGTATGGCAGCTTCTCTTGCCAGAAAAAGTGAATGATTTGTGGCCAAAGTAATGGGATTCTTTTGCCAGACATTCAGCGTGGTATTCTCAGGAAACATGGCATTGAGTTGTGAGATGAAAGAAGAGCAGGGGAAATATTCTTGAGGTTTTCATGTGAATTACGTGTGTTTTAGTATTTTACACATGTCTTACACACGTGTCATATATAATGCATGTTCGCATTGTCGTATTTTATGCGATTCTGATTTGAATTCTCTTGGACAGAAAAGAGAATGATGGACCTCATGTCCGTTTTTCACGAGTGTCCATACTTGTGCAATGGATTTTACGATGCTGCTCATAGTGTGTCTACAAATTGTCTGTACTCTGCTCTGATAGCGTACATTTACTGACACGTACCCTTGTGCTTGGATCATAGTAATAGTGGTTCCTGCAGCACAAGTAAGGAACTTTTTTCTCAATACATATGTAAAGGTTGTCCTTTAACCTGATTGGGTTCTCCATCTCTTTACGTGGTGCCAATAACACAATTGGGAAAACATTGTGGAAAATGGAAAAAAAATACATTTTAAAGACAGTATTTAGTTGGCAATGTATAGTGTTCACTCAATTAAATATGATTCATGACAAATCATGTATCAATACTCTTTCTGCCAGAGGCCTGCATTTGGTCCATTGGTAAATTACACTTGTGGATGGCAAGTATGAGGAAACAGAGTACCTATAGAAAACCCATGCACACTCAATGGTAACACTCACCACTCTACCGTCTCCTGGCCACCGTGCAGCCCCACGTCGGCAGACCCATAAATAACTTGGATATAGGAGGGGGGAGGGGTAGGAGAGCAGTGACACAGTGGTTAGCACTCTTTATTATGAATCTGGCAACCTGGGTTTGATTCCTGACCACAGCTAATATCAGTGGCGAGCAATATCACGGCTAGACCTTGGCCTCCCACGGGAACAGGGAATCGGCGTTCACATCCTTCCCCTCGTCATTACCCAGGCTCCCCACCCCCCATAGAAGCTACCCAGGGCCCCCCCAGGGAAACTAATGATCCAAGCAGCAGAACAGAATTCTGTGAATCCCGATCTCAAACACACGAGCTAAATAAATACGGTGTCACCTCATCACCAATGCACATCGACCAGTGTGGTGAAGTATGGTGACACAACCCCTAATAACCCGTGCAGATGCCTTCACATATCAGATTATTATTGTTGCTATTAATTATTTTACATAAACATGATTTTATGTAAAAAAATATTAAATCATATTAACAAAGAATCAAATTGTAACTTGCTGTGTTATGTATCCGCCGAGGGGCGTTCTACAGGAATAGCGAGCCCCCGCAAGAGAACAACTTATCTCAAGAATTAGCCACGTAGGAGGAATTTATCTGGCCAAGAGAGCCCATTGACCCAGGGTGAATATTTTAACCAGCAAAGCTGTATTAACAATGACAAATGATCGAAGAATTCCATATACACAGTGCAGAGAGATCTATGCTTTAACATTTCATCCTCTGACTACATGATTTTCACTCGCGGACATTTCAGTTCAGTGCTGAATCAAATGGGAATCGATTTTAAACTGAATATAAAAATAGTCATTCCCTTTTCCAAGAAGGCTTTTCCGAGTCTCAATAATGTTTTTTCAGCAGGGTCCTGCATTGTGATTGTTTGGCATATGTAATTAGTGTTTGGTTTCACGTGCAAGGATATTGGAAATCCTGGAGAAATCTATGCCTATGAGGGGATAACATGCAAGCGTGACACAGATGGGTTCAATCCATTGCTATGATGCCATCTACTGGCCACTTTGCAGCCCAAGACTGGGATTCCCAGGCAGTTTTCCATCCAAGTATTATAACAGGCTCAACGATACGTAGCCTCCAAAGGTCTGATGAGATCACGTACATTCAGGGTGATTTGCTCAATGTCCTGATGTAATGACCCAGAACAAAACCGCAAACAGCCCTTCTAGTTAGCTGCTTGTAGTGCTCACCAGGTATGACACGAATAAGCGTCAGTTGTCTTGAGGGGTTTTTTTTTTGGCTTATTCTACCAATGGGGCTTTATCACCGATTAATAGACGTGTTATGTACGTATTGTACAGCTCACAATTTGAGTCACTTGGGTGAATAAAAGGTTAACCTTTGCTGTTGCATTCATAAGACGTGATGGTGAGAGGATAGATATGTGCTGAGATGGGTTTTTTATATATATGGGTAGGTTTTTAGATGGTTCATGACCCCTCTCTCACTGCGGGGGAAAGAATCTCACCTCAATTGGACTCCAGTGCAAGGGATATGCCTGATTTGTGGACCGGTTGCCTAGATTTGAGCATAAATTCAGTTTTACATTAATAATACAACACAACAAAAAAAGTTAGAAAGCATGTTCAGGCCATGCCACATGTTTATTCGTTTTCCCATTCTATTAGGTATTTGCACCACTGACATATCAATCGTTTCAGATGAATGTTGTATTATTATAATATTTTAACATACAGCCTTCATACTCCTTTAGTTAAAAAAAAGTATAGTTTCATCCGTAGACCTGGATGCTTTTCCATTAGTGCTCAGTGGTCTTAGTGGTGTTGTTACGAAGCCTTCATTTTCAAAATATGAACTTATCGCAGCCTGGGTGCAAGCGTATGCAATCCACAGCTGAATGAAGGTCTCGCCACGCCAGGTTGCTCATGGGGGCTTGTTTTGACTCTGCTTCACCATGCTGGGCGGTGTGGGCTGGTAAAGTGGGGTGGGTCTTGGGTACCCAGGACCAGGTCAGATATTACTCATCACTGATGTTAGCCGTGGCAGGAAATCGTACTCGGATCGAGAGGTTTAGAGCTCACTGTGTTAACCACTGCACCACCGTTCTATCTCACGACTGCACTACTTCTATAACATCTTGCCACTGTGGACGCCACGGTGGCAACATTTTTAACTCGCCTGGTATATAGGAGGTCGTGGGTTCAATCCCGACCCTGATGCCTGTATATTTGGAGTTTGCATGGTCTCCCCGTGATTGTGTGGTTTTTTTTCTCCGTGTCCTCCGATTTTCCCCTCCACATATGGAAACATGCATTTGCTAATATTTGGCTGCTATAAATTTCCACACGATAAGCCACTTCGTTGAGCTATCAATTGTGGCCAGGTTGCTTCTGAAAAAGAGCTACATAGCTCAGTGAGCCTTACCTGGTAATACAATTTTTATTTAAGCTTACTTTGTTTTTTGTATACAACATAGTGTGCAAATATTTCTAATAAATAGCAATTGTGCATGTGACCAGTTGCTCATCGGCTTGCTCACTCACTCTATCGTCCTCCCGCTCACTCGGTGTGCTGGCAGGTGCGAAGGCTCGGCGGCGTACCACTGCTGGTGGACCTGCTGGGACATCCCAAGGCCGACGTGCAGAAGAATGCGTGTGGGTCGCTCAAGAACCTGGTGTACGGTAACGACGACAACAAGAAGGCGCTGCGGCAGGCAGGGGGAGTGCCAGCCCTGGCAACGCTGTTGCGCAGAGCCGGCGACGCAGAACTGCAGGAGCTTGCCACCGGTGCGTATGCCTTTGTGCCTGTGTGTGTGTGTGGGGTGCGATAGCTGTAGCGGTTAGCGCGCTGCGCTTTGAACCTGGCCACCTGAGTTCGATTCCCGTTCACGGCCAACATCATTGATGATTATCTTAACCTGTCCTGGGCCTCCCCGAGGTTGACTCAGCCTCAAATGAGTACCTGGTGGGGAGTACAAACATCACCACCAGAGAGACAAAGGTGACCAAGCATGGTGCTTAGCCACCCACTCCTTTGTGTGCAGTGCCAGCACTTGCCCTAATAGTCTGTTAAGGCTATACAGAGATATTTTTCTTCGTGCAACAATAAAGGAAGGCACAGGAGTGATGCTAATCAACAACGAGCAGAGTGCCGGGCGGCTAAAACACAATTTGGCACATTGGGGAACATAGATGGTGCATCTTAACGGTCATCTCAGTCCGTCAACCCATGGCACCTGGGTCTGACTTGTGATCTCCTGCCAGAAAAATTTTGGAACTTTATTTCACCTCAAAGTATATTTGAACTGGCACAAGCACTGTGGTAATGTCACCATCATTTCTTGGCGATTTGGCAGTTGTTGTATAATAGAGAGTGGTGGCGTTACGGTTAGACCGCTGAGCTACAAAGCCGGTGGCCTGAATTTGATTCCAGGCCCTTGCTAACATCAGTGACGAAACTATATCAGAACCATTCTTGGGCCGCCTCCCCTAGATCAAATCCACTTTAAAATTAGTACCTGCTTCAGGAAATAAACAGCACTCAGGAGAGGAAGGTGACTAGGCATGGTTGCTGACTGCACCACCATTCTCAAGCACTTTGCTGGTATTAGAGAATATTTCCCCCCACAAATATTTGTTCTCCCAGAAATGAATGCACATTGTTGGAAATCTTAATGGCAGAACTGTTGAGACAAGGGCCGACAAGTGTGATGCTGATGACCACACCTCCGTCTTGTGTGGCCATGTTGGCCCTGATCACCATTAACAAATCAAATTTATGTTAATAGAGCGCATTCACTGAAGGCGCTTGGCATAGCTTGCACAATGGTAACAATATGATTAAGATGGCAGGGGCATAACAAGGATTGATAAATGAGTGACCCTGATCAAGGGCACTTGGGGATCACGAAAGGGTAGGGGTGGGACAGGAACGAGGGAGGGGCGAGGAGAGGTTAGGAGGAAGGAGAAGTGGTGAGCCACCAAGAGCCAATTCATCCTAAATAACGGGATATTTGGCTGCTAGTAATTTCCAAACTATAGGCCACTTAATTGGGCTATCATTGGTGGCCAGGTTGCTTCTGAAAAAGAGCTATATAGCTCGGTGAGCCTTACATGTGGGTCGCGCCAGCCACAGTGCTGGAGGAGCGCCGGGTGCCCCGATTGGACGAGCTAAGGGCACGTGACCGGAAGCGGGCCTCGATTGTAGAAGTCAAGGGCACGTGACCTGAAGCGGTGTCTCGAATGGAGGAGTTAAGGACACGTGGTCGGAAGCGGGGTGCCTCGATTGGACGAGCTAAGGGCACGTGACCGGAAGCGGTGTCCGATTGGACGAGCTAAGGGCACGTGACCTGAAGCGGTGTCTCGAATGGAGGAGTTAAGGACACGTGGCCGGAAGCGGGGGCGCCATTCTTGATACAGCAAGGGGATTCGGTGCTCGTTCATGGGGGATCAACTCAAGGGGTCGTCGGTCTTCGCTCCTCGTTCGCCGTAGAGTCTTAGCTGGGGATCGTGGGTCAGGAGGCGTTTGTGCTGGCTGGCCCGTTCGTTCAGCTAACTCACACATAGTGAACAGTCTAGGAACAGTATAGCCACACTTAACTGTAGAACTCGGTGATTGGTGAGGTTGTTTATTAAATGTGTTGCCTCAAACAATAGTGTTCTCTGTAATAACACTACATATGGTTTAAAATAAAAATTGTTAGTTTGGAAAGAAATCCATCACAGGCTGCTAATTTCACCGAAGATTAGACAATATGTGATGCTAATTTTGCTCTTGTACACACTTGTAGTTGCGTATCAACTTGATTTTGTTGCCCCCTTAATATTGAACCCTGAATTTAAGGAGTAATAAGCAGGAATAATATTATTTACTTGCAGCTCCAGAATAATTCATTGGAAATTCAGCAATTCCAATTTCCTTTTTAAAGGAGACCTTATGTTTGCACTTAGTAATGGCTTAAAACACATTAGTGTAATGGAATAGCTGAAGGTCGGCAACCGTATCGGCAACTGTAATACATTACAATGACCTAAGTTATGACGTTTAACCTGGTTTGAAGTTCTATTTATCGGTAATTTCCACTTTGTGATTGAACTTTTTTCCCATATTTACGTTTTTCGTTCAACAGTGTAGGTTATTTAAGAATTTGTTATACGTGGACATAATTCCATGTTAGAGTTTCACGCCAAATTATGTTTACATCTTTTTTTTTTATGTATATATATGGGGCAGCTGTGGTGCAGTGAGTTTAGCACTGCACATTGAAACCGGTGACCTGAGTTCAATTCCCAACCATAGTGGACATCAGTGGCGAATAATATCTGAAACAGTCCCAAACCTCACCATTGGAACCTCATTTGCCAGTAAAAAATATGATAATTGTTTTTTTACCCTTCTATCTGGCAACAAAACTGACACCTTTTTTTTCAGTCCCAAACCTCTTCCCTTTGTCAAGCCACAAATCGTGCGACAAAGAATCCCCTTGGATCTCTCAGGGCAGTGCAAGGCTTCGTGTTAGATAATCATAGAGCTACTTCTGAGGCCCCCTTGAAGTGGCTTCCGTGCAGTAGGAGGAGACACTTGACGCCTTCCTGTCTCACTGAACCACGTAGCCTCGTGCTCGTTGACCTTCCCTGTTTCAATCCAGGCCTGCTCTGGAACCTTTCGTCCTGCGAGGCCCTGAAAATGGCCATGGTGACGGATGCACTGAGTGCCCTCGTTGCCTCCGTGGTGGTGCCCTGCGCCGGTCTAGCGAGGGATGGCGAATCGGCGAGCGCTCCCCTCGCCTCCCCTGCGCAGGGCATTCAGTCCCAGGTGTTGCGAAATGCTACTGGGTGCCTGAGGTACGCACACGCGCACACACACGCGCACACACCCAGAGATAAAACAAAGATGAAACATCTTCTTGGTTCTTTCGGTAAAGTCACGTGACTTTACCGAAAGAACCAAGAAGTTGAATCCCTGTGCAGTCACGAAAGCTTAAAATCGAAAGATGAAACAATATATAGCAATAGGTTTGGTCCTCACATAGATTTGGTCCACTCACTGGATTGTATTGATTGGTCTGTGGTTTAAATCTGCCTGTCCAGAGTTTCGAGTCCTATCCTCTCGTATGCATGGATTTTATCCGAGTGTTTCTTGTTTCCTTCAACCACTTGAAACACGCAAAAGTGGATTTGACCAAATATTCCAATGCTGAATAAGGGTATTAAGACTTAGTGAGGCCTTCCAGGTAAATAATAGCATTTTCTTTGGCATGTCGTGCAAAAGTGACCTGTATTGTGATGCCAAAAGGCAGCTTGTTCTGTTCATGCGACAGAGCGAGCAGGTGTATAAGTGTAGCGTTTGGCCATAGCATCCCACAAGAACTGTGGAGGCAATGCACAGCTGTGGCGTCAGGCTGTCGTCGCGTGTAGTTGCAACACTTCGCTTGTGTGTCTCACGGCTGTAGGAATATGAGCTCGGCTGGCGAGGAGGCGAGGAGGCAGATGAGGGAGTGCGACGGACTTGTGGAGTCTCTACTGCACATAATAGAGACCTGCCTGGACACAGAAGATGTGGGAGGAAAGGTACGAGCAGTCACACAGACCTCCCCACAAAGACACAAGCAGTCTCTTGTTTAACCATCTAGACCGGGGGAGGGGGGTAACCTCCAGCCCACGTGCGGAATGTGACCCGAAATTTCATATCTTTCTGTCACCAGTCTCGTGGCCATTTTCTCATCGAGCGATGTGTTCTGCCCAAGTTCACATTTTCCCGCATGTGCTTTCAAACATTGCACAGGTTTTGTACAGAGACGGAGGGGATAAGGGGCAGAGCTGCTGTCTCCTGGGGATACATACGTGGGTTACTCGATTCGCAGAGGGTCAGCCCTGTCTTTCAAGTCGGGGTGGGTCACGTAGTAAATGGCAACGAGAATTGACATCCCATCGGGTGTCAATGATATCGGCATGTCAATTGTGATATCAATAATTGAATTATTAATGATGGCGCAGATTCAATTGTTTGTGGGCAAGAGGTAATTGCCTCTTGTAATTGGTTTTATTGCAACGCTGGTTTTTGTGGCCCGTACTTATAGATGCAGCACCAGGTCAATAAGGATCATGTTTGGAATGCGCCAAAGGGTTTAAAACAAGCTGCACCAGCCAGGTCAATGTGTCAGCCCACTCTTAAGTTTGTATATACATTTAGAATGGCTCTTCCTTATCCCATTAACCCCATAGCTTTTTCATTGAAGAATACCCAGGATTTGTGCTGAAGCAGCAACTACGCTTATTATGTGTCAAGTCCACTTCCATTAGGCGAAACCCTGGAATACATTCGCAGTTAGAATGCAGGTGCACAGTTTGTTGCTTATTTACAAATAAATGCAAAATAACCAATTAAAAAACTATTGTTATACAGAAATCAAACTTTTAAAAATGTAAACGTTATCTGCTTACGTGCATAGTCTCAGCATAGTCTCAACACTCATAGTCTCAACACTCTAGTCTTGCTGCGTGTTTTGCAAGCATAAACGTCGTCCTTATTGGAAGATGTAGTGCCACACTTGTAATAGAGCAATATAAGGTGGGCAGAGTTGGAGGAGAAGGTTGGGGGTAAAGGGTGGGGGTCGGTGTTGGTTGGGCAGGGGGTGGAGAGGGCCTCGAAGGGGGTCTCATCCCACATTTTGCCTCAGGCCTCCAAAAACCTTTTCATCGATCCTGAAAGTGGGCCACCCAAATGGGGTTACCCACATTCAAGGCAGCAAGAAAAAAATCAAACTAATTTCTAGGTGGATGGTGCGGCTCAGGGGTCAGAGCCAACGAGTCGGCACTTGAGTTTCTGCGTTTGATTCTGGGCAGCCGCCCGTGATGAAAACCCGGGGTTCTCAAGTATGTAGTGTTCTTCATCAATGCACAAAAAGCCATTCACGTTATATTTGGCTGGAAAGTTAACTTGGCTAAATGCATTCGTGAGAAACAAAAATAGTAATTTACTGATATGCACAAACATTTAACTCGTAGCAGGGTGTGGAGAAAGGTGTGTTGCCTACTGTGTGTGGATAAAAGGTCCCTGTGAACATCGGTTCCTGTTTACCATTCTCTAGCACACTCGGTCAAACCTCTCTGCAAAGATGGTCACTGCATTGCGCACTTTCAGATACGCTTCTGCGGTCTTCTGGAACCCTCTGCCTTTCGATATTAATAAGCCACTGAAGCTATGCACTAAGATCTAGATTGAAAACAAATTTCTTTGCAACTGATTTTTATGTTTAGTTGTTGTCTTCCCCCACACCTCTGATTTGCACGGGTGGCTACGTACTGTGCCAAATATGTTAAGCATACATACATACGAATGGATTTGTTATCTCAATAGATGCTCATAACACAATTTTCATTATATTTTGAAAAAGAATAATATCTAAAATGGCCAGTTATTTTTACATGTCAGTACATTTTTTGACTTTAGAGCTTTATCTCCTCATCACATTTATTTATCCAGAAACTATGGTTTTCTTTTCATCAAATCAAAGACCCGAAGTTTTCAGTGTGTGCTCACAATACTGTGCAGTTGCATTTCAGTTCACGTTCATCCATTTCCATTCCGCTAATGAGATCTTCAGTATTTTGCATTGAGCTTCATTTGACTTGAAGATCACAAGAATAAATAATACATTTGGAAATCGTTCTTTTTCACAATGATTCTGCGAGTTTACGGTCATAACATTGAATCTCTTTTGTGTTAAAAAAAAAAAAAGAACACGTGCCTTCCCTGTAAGGTTATCGTGGAAAATTGGATTTGTTGCTTGGTAATAATGAATGTGATTGCTTTTGAACTGTGCCCTTTCCCGTGACTGAAAAGTATCTTACTGAAAATTAAGTTCTATAATTTATACTTAACTGACCAGCTTGGTAAAGTATGGTCAAATAACCCCCATGATCCGCACGACATGAGGAAGGTCATCATCCAGCAGTGGATTGGAATATAGGCCACATTAAGAATGCATTACCATACGTGAAAAGGTCATGTTTGGGAATTCTACATAGAAAATGACAGTTACACCACGTGCAAATGCCTCCCCCGGCTATTGATGGATAATTGGTCAGGGCAGATGTGTGACTGGTCAGATGTGAGACGTCGCACCGTGCACGCGTGTGAGCCTGAGTGCTTTGTGTGCCGTAGTGTAGCGGTTAGCACACTGTGCTATGAACCCAGCGACACGGATTCGATTCCCGCTCATGGCCAACACCAGTGACGATTATCTGGACCGGTCCCGGGCCTCCCCTAGGTCGACTCAACCTCAAATGAGTACCTGGTGCGGTGTGTAAACATTGCCACTAGGGAGACAAAGGCGGTCGGGCGTGGTGCTGGCCACCCACCCCCTCGTGTGCTGTTCCGGCCTTCATAGGTGCTCTCTAACAGCACTTGCCCCTACAGTCTGTTAAGGCTATACGGGGGATCTTTGTCTTTTTGTTGTGTGCCGCAAGGTGGTGGAGAACTGCGTGTGCGTGCTACGCAACCTGTCCTACCGCCTGGCCGCCGAGACACTGCGGGGTCACGACTGGGGCTCGGGCAGTGGAAGCGGCGGTGGGACGAGCGCCCAGGATGGAGGCGCGGCAGGACCTGGCGGAGGCGGCGGTGCCGGCGGCGGCGGTCGGACGGGCCGGGCTCGGCAGAAGGAGAAGCCGAGCTGCTGGGGAAAGAAGCGCAAGAAGAAGCCGCTGGATGAGGCAAGCGTGCAGTTTTTCCCTCCACATTTCCCTCCACAAATTTAGAATCAAATTTCATGCCTTTAGAGTATTTGGCTGCTATCAATTTCCACATGATAGCCACTTCGTTGAACTATCATTTGTGGCCAGGTCGCTTATGAAAAAGAGCTATATAGCTCAGTGGGCGTTACCTGGTAAAAAAAAAAAATGTTTTGCCATTTTATTGCTCGAGGATGCGGCGGCACGGTGGTTAGCACACTCCACCATGAAGCCAGAGTCATGGGGAGGTGAGGCACATACATGGCATGTGATGTCATCTCCTTGGCTGATATCCATTCAGTGATGGCTTTTAATTTCCAATTTTTGGGAAACTCTTTAAGCAATCTACACTCAAACGTAATTTATATTGCTTTAACTTTGCGGTAATTATCGTGGTCCCATGTTACAGAGACAGACAGATGTAATATTAACCTTCTTTGAAAAGTATAAATAATACAGCCCGTGTCGTCTCCACGTCTAATGTGTCTGCACCCTGCTTAATGCGCCTGCATTGCTTTTGTAATTCCTTTGGTGTGGAATTGCCCGTAAACTGTAGCTATATCATGATTGTATGTATGATATGGGGAGGTAGACCTGCCAACAATCGCCTTGGTCATATTGAAGCAGGGAAAGTGAAGTGAAACTGATTTTTCCAGAATTGTCATATTGTACTATGGGTATTGAACGGCTGAATCGGTTGGTCGGTTTATTTCGGGGAAATGCTCCATTGAGCAAAGGAGGTCTCTTTCAATAGCGACTGGAGAATGGTCCACACATTACTCGTTTGTGATGATGAAAAACGGACCTTGACGGTTTTTGAGGAAATTCTATTGGCTGGTGTCTTGGGGGAAACTTCACAAGTATCTGGAATAATTAAAATGCCCTTCATGGTTTGTATAGACGCTTCTGTACTGAACTCAGAGGGTACTGTCTTTCAGGGCGGGAAATATATATATATCTCCACAAAGCAATATTGTACTTGATATATAAATAATGGTAAATATGATTATGATATGAATGTTATTTAACTCCGAAAGTAAATTACGTTAATCTGTGTCAGCAGCTTTGTGTAGATGAATTAATAGATTTCAATTTAACTTGATAATAAGCTATACAGGCATTGTCGAGATTTTTTCTCTGGCTGCGGTAACTTTCATTAAATATCGGCAGTCCTATCTAATGCATTTGTGTATCTTTTACATTCGGTGGGAATTTATTTTCAGCTTTTTTTTTTCTTAAATTCTTTATTCGTGGTGCATAAACCTATTCATGCATAATTCAGTCACTTGCAGTGATGCATGCTGCTTCATCCGGGCGCTGACATGCATCTGCTCGCATTATGTTGAGATTAAAATTTTATAAATCTGGGACCATGGGTCATCCCGCTAACATACCGAGCCTCCAGGAGAGTGATCCCTGCATTGCCAAGACACATGCACCCGATATGCATGCTCATGCGCATAATGTGCATGCGCTCTAAGCTCGCGCTTGAGCCTTTATGTGCACGTACATATGACACTCGTACTATTGCTCACGTATTTACGTGTACGAGCGAGTTTGCGGGAGATAGCACGGTTATATTTATAGCCACAGCCCTCTTTAAATCCACTGCTGGGTGAAAACCTCCCCAAAGTATTTTGGCCGTGATGCTTTTTTTTTTACCATGCTTCACCCCGCTGGTCAGTGTGGGTTGGTGGAAAGGAGGAGGGGGGTGCATGCTAAAGATCAGTTCAAATATCACTCATCACTGGTGTTAGCCATTGCTGGGAATCAAAGTCAGGTCACCAAGATAATGGAAAAATTTGCTAACGACTGTGCTACCACTTAAGCCCCACAACAATCTGTAATGAATACACGAAGACCAGATAAATTCGTTTCAAATATACAATGAAAAGAGGGAAGGTCTGTTTCTCCACATAAAATAACACGTGTTATCTGTCCATTGGACTGAGTCTTCTCGACCAGTGTTTTCCAGCAGCATTCATTAAAACAGAAAACTCTGAGCCAGTGTTGATCATCAATATACCATCAGCAGAGTCCGATCTGTACAATGGCCACTTCACTGGGTTTCCAGATGTTTTTAGCAAAGAGCCCTCCACAAAAACTAATGAGAGCCATTCTGCACGAAAAAAACTGCTCCAGTAAGGTGGTTAAGTGTGTATACGTGCGTGTTTGTAAGTTAATTAATACCTGCACGTGTGTGTGTGTTTATAGAGAATGGTAGTGTCACGGTTAGCACGCTGCACTACGAACCCAGCAATCCAAGTTCGATTCCTGCTCACAGCCACCATCGGTGACGATTATCTGAACCGGTCCTGGGCCTCAAATGAGTACCTGGTGCGGTGTGTAAACATCGCCACAAGGGAGACCAAGGTGGCCGGGCGTGGTGCTGGCCACTCAACCCCTCGTGTGCCTTTGCCATTCTTCATAGGTGCTCGCTAACAGCCCTGAGTCTGTTAAGGCTATACTGTGGAATCTTTGTCTTTGTCAGTGGGATGGCGTGGGACCTATACCAGAGTGTCCTGATCCTCCCCGGGGCCCCGAGCGGCTGTTCCACCCGAGCGTGGTCAACCCGTACCTGGGCCTGCTCAAGAAGTGCGCCAACCCGGCCACGCTGGAGGGCGCCGCAGGTGCACTGCAGAACCTCGCCGCGGGGGGCTGGAAGGTCAGTGTCCCCCCCCCCCCCCCCCCCCCCCCCCATTCCGAGAGAGTCGCTCCTCCCTAAGTTGTTCATTTTTTCTTCTTGGTTCTTTCGGTAAAGTCACGTAGAATGGAAATAATAAAATAATAAAAATAAAACATTAAGTAATTCTCACGACGTTTCGGCCACAACGCAAGCAGCCGTCCTCAGGTGAAGACCAGGTCTGTCTCCCCGACACGTCGTGAGAATTATTTTATAATGTTTTATTTTTATTATTTTATTATTTCCATTCTACGTGACTTTACTGAAAGAACCAAGAAGATGAATCCCTGCAGTCACGAAAGCTTTAAATCGAAATTGTTCATTTTGTTAACGTATTCAGTGACAGAAACAATCTATCTCGGTTAACGGTAACCAATGAAGTGGACGAGAAAACCATCGAGCGCGACGTTGACTACCCACTACCCATAAAACCTAAAGCGCGACTGACTATGACGAGACAAAATTCATGAATCTGGATGAAGATGAAGACTTAAGATACAATTATCAGAGGTGGCAAGGCCAAAAAATTTAATTGGCTACATATATAACAAGGTTTACTGAGACCAAGGTTCTCTGCAAACCTCCTGGCTACCATCAAAGGTTTGTACACGAAGCCATACAAATATACAAACACAGACATAATTTCAACCGTGATGACGGTTACAAACTGAGTAATCATTGGAAAGATGTGATTAACCATGCAAAAAGATTTAACTACACTTATTTGCCAATCTTATTTGACAGACAACCATCACAGTTTTACCATGTTTAGTGGTGGTCTCCCTGTCACAGGTTGAGTCACAAACCGCACCTCTCCATAACAAAGGCTCAGCCTTTGTTATGCAGTCTATTCTTAGTCTTAAGCCTCACCTTACCATATTAATAAAAGTATGCGGCCCTTGCCCCCCCCCTCTCCAACCATTATATAAACGGAGTGGTAGCCCCTGCAATCTCTCATTTACTTGATACAGCTGTCGTGGCTGTGACGGTACCACCTGAAGACGGAAGCTTGTGTTGCCTCCGAAACGTCGTGATTTTTATTTTATTTTACTTTTTAATTTTTTTTACCTACGTGACTTTACCGAAAAAACCTAAGAATATGAATCATTGCAGTCACGAAAGCTTCAAATCTAGAATTAAGGTTTACTGAGTTCATTGGTTGGCTGACATGATTATATTGAGGTGGGGGAGATGGATTGCACGCCCCTCAGACGCCAACACTTAACTTAGATTGGAGTAAACATTTGACTCCTTTTAGTCTAGTTGACCGAGAGAACGACTAAAATAAATCCATAGGTTGCAGTCGACTCCATTCACACTATGACTAAACTAAAAACATGCTCACCAAATACAACCCTGATGCACTCCTGCATCCTACCTTGGACTTAATGTATCAATAGTAAGCCACAGCCATCGCAAGAGTTATACTGGATGCCGTGTTGTCAAGTGCAGTCACATGGTGTGGGTGGCTGACCCAGACAGACCTGACTGCTGTCCTGCTCCTTATGCATTCGCCGGTTTTTCTTAGGTCTCAATAACAACTTATGTCACCTGATAATCCTCATCGCACAGTTGCATTCGTTCACATCAGAGAGTATACTTAGAGTCCTGGGAAAGTGCCCCTCTATAATATTTACGGGGGCACTTTTGGCATCGAATTTAGTGTCCCTCCCCCCACCACCCACATTGTGAATGACAAACCAGCAAAGATATGTTGCTATAAGTGCGATGCTAACACGTAGACTACAGGCACACGTGGTCGAGAGCACAATATTGGAGCAGACTTCAAGGTTGTGCATTGCGCAGTACAACGTTGACCCCTTTCACATCCCAGCTGCCCACTCTGTAACAAATCTATCCATTGCCTAAGGCTGCTCTTTATAAGTTTCTTGACACTGTAATAAGAGGCTGACTAGTGGGACTGGCTTCCTTGGATTCATTTGGCAGCAGTGAGGTGATGTTTATCATTTAATTTGCAAAAGTACAAGGTGGCTCAGCTATTCCATTGGTGTGCCAATGTATTTTGTAATAAAGAGGGAATTGAGCTACCTTGTATTTTAATAAAGCGAGGCAGGACTAATTTATTTGACTGGCTCCCAGTGGTTTTGCGCGAAGTCGTGAGAGTGAAGTGCCCTTACTTCAGTTATTTTACCGTGTAAGTGAGTGTGCGTGGTTCGCTGGGGGAAGAGCACCAGCCCCACATTAAAATAAATTCTCGTTTGTCGGCGGCAGTGCCGGTGGCGACACAGAGGATACCTGGGGGTGGGGTGGGGGGAGTGTGGGGGCTGGTGGGCGTATTTCTCCGGCAAGATGTGGTAGCACCTGATTGCACTGTGAGCAGCGTGAGTAACGCGCCGGCAGATGGATAGGGCTTCCCAGGAACGATCGCGCACACTCCCAAGGCGACCGGATTTATCGCTGACGAGTTTTCGGCGCACGGAGGCAAAAGCAGCTTAAAACAAAAGGAATACATCACGAGATGGCGTGACAGGGCGAGGTTAAGGTTAGCATCACTTAGAGTGAGAGAGTGAGATAGAGAGAGGGTTGAAGAGACAGACAGAGACATGTGCTTGATGTGTGCACGTGGTGCATAGGAATCATGCTGTGAGCCATTGATTCGTGGATTAAAATACTTTCATGGACTGATGCGTCTGAGAATGTATTATTTATTGTTAATTGTACGCACATTGTATCCAAATGTTTATTTCTGGCTCATGATACGTACAAGACGAAACACATTTTGTATCGAATTGTGATCCCCACATCATGAAAATGCATCAACTCACATGGGAAATTAATATTTTTACCCCTAACAGATAATGCAGAATCTGAAACAAATCATGAATAATTTGTGATCTTGTTTATGTACATATTTGCGTATATGATTGTTTATTTACAATTGCTCCTGAATATCTGGAACAAATGTGTGTATTACGTGTGAACACCTGTACGAATGCTACGTGGATGTTGATATGCTCATGTTATTCATGTGTCTATGTATGATTTATGTACGTATTACCAATACGGTCCACAACACAATTTGGTTATATATAGCTTCAAAATGACACTTGGATATCTCTACATTCATCGGCAGTGATTCACAGGCACTGCGCTATGAACCCGGCGACCTGAGTCCGATCCCTGGCCTTGACCAACATTAGTGAAGAGTGATTGCCTGGATTGGCGCTGGTCACTCCCTTCGCCAACCAGTCACTGGTCAGTCTGGTCAAGTGTAGTCAACAAAAATAGCTCCGACGGATGTGCCGCTGACAACCGTGGTAGTGGATTGACAAAGGGTTGTAAATTTATTATCCTTGTTGTTGCTGTACGATCTGTATTTTACTGAAAGGAACAAGACACATCTCATATGTTTGGAGATGTGTGTCTCATATTGTGACCCTGAATTGTAACAAGCCATTGATTTGCAGGGAATTAATATTTCTATTCCTCTATATAATTACACACACGGTCCCAATCTAAAAAAAAATGTGCGTTTGTATCATTGTTTAGTCTTGTATAGCTATGGTATTCAGTATCATTATGCTCATACGTCTGAATGTCTGTACAGATTCTGGATGTGGTTGTGTTCGTGCGCATGTTATTATTCATAGATGTGTTTATGTATTATTTATATACAGTACATATCACTATGGTCTGCAACACAATTTGGTTTTATATATAGCATTAAGTGACGAGGCTGATTTAATCAGAATGTAGATGTATTGAGGTATGATTTATAGAATACTAGCGGAAGTACCCGGCTTTGCCCGGGTGAAAAATATATTTCTTAAAAACCTTACATATATATACACAGATACTAAGGTATTGTCAAAGCCCGGTGGGCTGTTTGTACATTTCTCCACCAACAAATATATAAGAGGCTTTCACAAGTCCAAAAAGTTGTAGAAAGTGTGGGGTAAATAGTTGATGTCAAAATGTTTCCGAAAATTGCGGTCTCCCCCCCCCCCCCTCTCAAAAAATATCTTTACCCCTCGTAGGTATATATACTAACAACACCTTACATACAACAGAGGAAGTGGTATCTATTGACTCTGTAGTAGTATCTACTGACTGTACCGTAGTATCTACTGAGCCATGTGTAGCTACTGACTGTGTAGTAGTATTTAGTGACTGTAATAACTACTGACCATAGTAGTATTTACTGGGCCTACAGTAGTATCTACCGACTATATACTCGTAACGACTAACTGTATAGTATCTGCTGACTCTATAGTGTATCCACTGAATATAGTAGTAGCTACAAAATCTATAGCAGTATCTACTCACTCTATAATAGTATCTACTGACTCTAGTAGCTACTCACCGTAGCAGTATGTACTGACTGTATAGTAGTATATACTGACTGTAGCAGTATTGACTGACTGTAGTGGTATATACTGACTGTTTTAGTATTTACTATAGCGGTATCTACCAACTCGATAGCAGTATCTACTATCACTACAGCAGTGTATACCGACTGAGGTCGTACCTGCTATCACTACAGCAGTGCATACTGCTGTGTTGGTACCTGCTATGATTACAGCAGTGCATACTGCTGTGTTGGTACCTGCTATGATTACAGCAGTGCATACTGCTGTGGTGGTATCTGCTATGATGAGAGGAGTACATATTGTGGTGGTGGTACCTGGTATGATAACAGCAGTGCATATTGACTGTACTCATCATTCACCCTCACCATTCACCACTCACAACTCACCCTTACCACTCATCCTCACCACTCACCACTCCCACTCACTATTCACCATTCACCCTCACAACTCACCACTCACCAACCTCCCTCACCAATCTCCATCACCACCCTCCCTCACCACTCTCCCTCACCACTCTCCCTCACCACTCACCACTCACTCTCACCATTCACCCTCACCATTCAGCCTCACCACTCACCCTCACCACTCACCGTCACAACCACCACTCACCCTCACCACACAACCTCACCCTCACTACTCACCATTCATCCTCACCAATCACCACTGACCAATCACCACTCACCACTCTCCACTAACCCTCACCACTCAACCTCACCACTCACCCTCAAAACTAACCACTCTCTCACCACTCACCCTCACCACTCAGCACTCACCCTCACCACTCACGCTCACCACTCACCCCTCACCACTCACCCATCACCACTCACAACCGCCACTCACCCTCACCATTCACCCTCACCACTCACCCTCACAACAACCACTCACCCTCACCGCTCACCACTCACCCTGACCACTCACCACTCATCCTCACCAATCACACCCTCACCAATCACCACTCACCCGCACTGCTCACCCTCACCACTCACCACTCACGCTCACCCTCACCACTCACCCCTCACTAATCACCACTCATAACCGCCACTCACCCTCACCACTCAACACTCACCCTCACCACTCACCCTCACTACTCACCACTCATCCTCACTACTCACCCTCACCACTCATCCTCACCACTCACCCTCACCACTCACCCTCACTACTCACCACTCATCCTCACCACTCACCCTCAACAATCACCACTCACCCTCACCACTCACGCTCACCACTCACCCTCACCACTCACTCTCACCACTCACCCTCACAACAACCACTCACCCTCACCACTCACCCTCACTACTCACCTCACCACTCACCGCTCATCCTCACCAATCACACCCTCACCAATCACCACTCACCCTCACCACTTGCCACTCACCCTCACCACTCACCCTCACCATTCACCCTCACCACTCTCCCTCACCACTCACCAGTCATGCTCACCACTCACCATCACTACTCACCACTCACCCTCAACACTCACCCTCACCGCTTACCACTCACCCTCACTACTCACCCTCACCACTCATCCTCACCAATCACACCCTCACCAATTACCACTCACCCTCACTGCTCACCCTCACCGCTCACCACTCACCCTCACCACTCAACCTCCCCTCACCACTCAACCTCATCCTCACCCCTCACTAATCACCACTCACAACCGCCACTCACCCTCCCCACTCACCCTCACTACTCACCACTCATCCTCACCAATCACACCCTCAACAATCACCACTCACCCTCACTGCTCACCACTCACCCTCACTACTCACCCTCACCACTCATCCTCACCAATCACATCCTCACCAATCACCACTCACTCTCACCACTTGCCACTCATCCTCACCACTCACCACTCACCCTCACCATTCACCCTCACCACTCTCCCTCACCACTCACCAGTCATGCTCACCACTCACCATCACTACTCACCACTCACCCTCAACACTCACCCTCACCGCTCACCACTCACCCTCACCACTCACCCTGACCACTCACCACTCATCCTCACCAATCACACCCTCACCAATCACCACTCACCCTCACTGCTAACCCTCACTGCTCACCCTCACCACTCACCCTCACAACAACCACTCACCCTCACTACCAAAAACTACACATGTGTTAGTACCTGGGTAGTAAGTGTTATTTTCTATACGCTGACATCTCAAAAGTTACAAATGGGAGAAAATTACCCTCAAACTTAGTTTTTGAGACACAGACAGTGAACAAAATTTTAATCGTAAAAATATATTTTTTTACCAAAAACTACACATGTGTTAGTCTCTGGGTAGTAAGTGTTATTTTCTATACGCTGACATCTCAAAAGTTACAAATGGGAGAAAATTCCCCTCAAACTTAATTTGTTTTGACACGGACAGTGATATTTACAAATGGAGCTATTTTGCTAGGAAAAACCTGTGCATTTGTGTAATTCTTTCCTTTATATAAAGTTCTGGTCACAAAAGCAACATGTACGGGGAATAATAGCCATCTTATATACTTAGGAGGCTTAAGCAATATAAAAATAACACTTTTTACCCAGGGAAAAATCGTGGTGCATAGTGTATATTTACTATCATCAAACATAACTTAATCCCTAACATCTTTTAATATATAAGAGTGATACAAAATAGTAAACATAAATATTTAAATGTTTTAACTGAGCTGTGAAGTTGCGTGACTAACCTCGTAGCTTTTCGACGGGAATAAGAATCTCCGCGATTGTTTGAAGATATCGGGGAGGGTGGGGGGAAGGTAAACACGCCCACTCGTGACATCGCCCCCCCCACCGAACACGGAGCAACGCCGCGAGTGTGTGCGAGTCTGAAAGTGTGAGAGCGAGTGTATGTGTGAGTCTGAGTGTTAGAGTGAGTCTGTGTGTGTGAGTCTGAGTGTTAGAGTGAGTCTGTGTGTGTGAGTCTGAGTGTTAGAGTGAGTCTGTGTGTGTGAGTCTGAGTGTGAGAGTGAGTTTGTGTGTGAGTGTGAGTGTATTTGTGTGTGTGAGAGTGAGTGTATGTGTGTGAGAGTGGAGTGTATGTACAATAATACTGTCTAATCGCTATAATTTTATTATCTACCGACCCTATAATAGTAATTGCACACATTGGGTTGGAAGGGGAGTGAAGAGGACGTGAAACTTTGATGAATTTACCTCAGAATCGCGTGTTAATGCGTGCGCATATTTGTAACGGGAATTCAAAATGGCGTCCACCCCGCAGCGAAGTTGTTGCTACCCGTTGCCAGGGGCAACCGCCGTGGTCTGCGCCGGCCGGCAATATTAAATAAATAAATAATTATATAACTAAATAAAGAGCAATCGCACTAAATCGATAATCGGTCCGATTTAAAGTTTAGAGACGAAAAATCGGAAATGCCTAAGTTTACCACGGGCCGGGGGCGTGCCCACCTGCAAAATTTAATCTCGGCGAACCCCACGGTCCGAGAGCTAAATCCCCCGGAAGAGAGCGTACGCAGACGGACAAACAGACAGACAGACAGACAAAAAATGAATTATATAGGTTAGATATGTATACGTGTAATATATATGTACATATCTGTATTCTTTATATAACTGCAGTATGTATTGGGGATGAGTCGAATGCTTTTGGTAACTAAATGGTTTTAATGTATTTAAACAATTCTGACTAGTATTACATGCTTTTTTAATTGCCAAAAAAATGATAGTTATATACAAGTTGAACAAAATAGTGACATACTTGATGGGATTTTGTGTATACATTCTTAAATATATTGACATAGCTAAATCAATATGAATTGTGTACAGGTAGTCCCCGACTTACGATGGTCCGACTTACGATATTTCGATCTTACGATGGCGATAGCGATATGACAAAATTGTTAAATATTTTACATTTCGCGCGGCAGGCAAACGCAGCAGCGTACGAGGTACGATACTGTACGTTGGGACGCTGCCGGGATGTACTGTACGCATATAGTTTATACAGTACGGTACTGTAAATTGCTCTGTTTTGCTAAATTATCACCATTCTTTAAGACTCCTGGGTAGGCTTGGCCATTTTTGACTTACGATGGGGTCGTCGTAACGCATCTCCATCGTTAGTCAGGCACTACCTGTATTTAAAGCTGCCAGTGAAAGGGATATCAGCAAATATGTAGCACAGTTGGCTATGTATTGTGCGAAAGAAGTTCAACATACATACAAGACCTAGATTGCGTCCTGAGTTGGCTGTGATTAATGAGATAAAAATGACTTTAACATAAAAATCAGGCACCGTCATAGCTCTGTGGTGATATTTGGATTAAGACATTGGTAAGACAGTGGATGCCAAGAGGGTGCTGCATTTGATGAAAGTATGATTGTATTTTTAAGTGTATTTTTTCCGAGTCATGTTGAACAGCATGGGACACACAGCATGGAAGTATGCATCTTCAGTGATAGGCAGGTGATGTAACTTTAATCTTGCTTTGAAGCTTTCGTGACTACAGGAATCCATACTCTTTGGTTCTTTCGGTAAATTCACGTAGGTATAAGATAAAATAAATCACCACGTTTCGGGCGCAACACAAGCGTCCATCATCAGGTGGGAAAGCGCCCGAAACGTCGTGATTTATTTTATTTTATACCTACGTGACTTTACCGAAAGAACCAAAGAGTAAGGTTGTAACTTTACTTTCAACTAGACAAAAGCCAATTGGGACCAAAAATCCAGTTTTTATTTGGAGACCTGAAAAATCTGAACTCGCGTGCATGTGCACCACTAGGCGCTCATGCAAGGCATGAAATGGGGCCCCCTTGTCAATGGCCTTTGGATGGGGGCCTCCTGTTCAATTCCTCCACGCAGCCCGACACCTGCACCACTCATACACCCGTATGTATGCCCTGGTGGAGTTGCACGTCTCGCCTGCTGTGCGCCTATGTTTTGTTCGTGTATGCCCATGCGGCGTGTCAGCGCTCTGCCTGTATGTGTTTGTGTGATGATTATCTGAACCGGTCCTGGGCCTCCCCTAGGTCGATTCAGCTTTAAATGAGGACCTGTTACGGTGTGTAAACATCGTCACTGGGGTGACAAAGGCTGGCCACCCACTCCTTCGTGTGCTGTGCGGGCTACCATGGGCGCTGGCTAACAGCACCTGCCCCAACAGTCTCTTAAAGCTATATGGGGGATCTTTGTCTTTGTGCGAACGTTCTCTGCAGTGGTCGAAATACGTGCGTGCCATGGTGCGGCGCGAGAAGGGGCTGCCCGTCCTGGTGGAGCTGCTGCGCATGGACAGCGACCGCGTGGTTTGTGCCGTGGCCACAGCCTTGCGCAACATGGCTATGGACGTGCTCAGCAAGGAGCTCATCGGTGTGTACACGCAAAGAAAAAGATCCCTCTTTTTATGTCTTTATATGTATATCTTTGGGGCATGTGCTGTTAGCGTGCGGATTGTTGAGGCCACCACGGTGCATGAGGGGGGGGGGGGGGCACCATCGTAACCGCCAGACCTTGTCTCCCCATTGCTGATGTTTTCACACCGCACCAGGCACTCACTTAAGGCTCAGTCGAAGTATGGAAGGCCCAGCACGGGTTCAGGTATATACGCCAACTGGTGTTTGCCATAAGTGGAAATCGAACTCTGGTCACCGGGTTTTGTAGCACAGTGCGCTAACCGCTATGACATGCACACACGCACACACACACGCACAAACAGTGCTACGTTCAACACCATTAGACTCGCACTCTAACAAAAAGTGTGGAGGCCTTGATGCAGAGGTGTATTAAACATCACTATTATTTCTACTGTCTGGTTTAAAGGTTGTGCTGCACAGTTCTCCGACGTGTTATCGGGTAGTACCGTGTGTCATTCAGCACGATGTCCTGAAGTACCTCGGATAGGCATGGTTGGCTACTTACGGCGCGAAAGAAGTTCAACATACATACAAGTACCTGAAGTTTGAACATCGTTCCGAAACAGCACACGGCACAGCCCGAAAACACGTCGGAGACCCATTATTATTACTACTACGATCATCATACACTCCGTTTGCCAGCTTGCGCTTCAACCTCCCCATCATTGACAAACTCTCCGCCCATGCATCAGGCAAGTACGCGATGAGGGACCTCGTACAGCGCCTGCCAGAGCCCGTGACAAACAACAGCATTGCGAGCGGGGTGGTGGGAGGCAGCGGCGGTGGAGGAGGAGGAGGTATGGCGAGCGGCACAAGCGGCGATGAAACTCCGGGCGCTACGGCGTCGACGGCATTGATGACAGCAGCGCGGGGGGCCGGCGGCAACGGTAACAACGGTCACGGGAAAATGTGCGCGTCGGAGGACACGGTGGCGGCCGTCTGCTGCGCCCTCAACGAGGTGACGACGCAGAATATGGAGAACGCCAAGGCGCTGAGAGACGCCGGCGGGATCGAGCGGCTGGTGCACGTGACACGCGGGCGCACGGACAGGTGGGTGACGCCGCCGCACAGACAGGCAGCGTTCGTTCTTAGGGCAACAAGTCGTTCCATTGTGTTGCGGCCAGTCTGCCAGTCTCGGTTAATTCATATGAAGGATTTACATTTAGAATGTTGACCTCTTTTTTCCCGTGTGGTTGTAATCGTGCTATCAATATGTCCATTCAGAACTCTCGCAGAAACGGTGCATGTCTCTGTTGGGTGTTAGAGAATGGCCCACCAAAGCATATGTCACAGACCTACTTCTGAGATCTCTTTACATTACCTTTTTTGTCCACACACTAGGGGATATGCATTTTCCCACATACCCTGATAAAGAGAAATGGTCATTATATTTCACATTATGGTGTTTTAATGATAAAATATATTTCTCTGGGTATTTATTTTATGCACGTATTGCACCTATTAGTGCATAAAAGAAACCCAGGATCTCAGAAATTCTGGCTCAGGGCTCCGACCTTCTAAGCCATGTGGCATAATTTAATTTCCTTGAAATGCTCGGTTCCAAAATGATTATTTAAGCATGCTGTGGCCATTCCCAGTGGCAAGGGCAAGATATGTCCATTAGAGCGATAAAGATGCAAAGTCTGTCTTGCTGTTATAAAAAAAATGCCTTCTAACTCGACAGATAGAGGTCCATTTGGGCACATTACCAGATGTCCTATAAAGTTGCTGTCCAAGCTTTTTACTGGCTGGGGGGGCCATGCACTGCTGCTGGAATCACTGGCCACACAGTGTAATCTTGGGCTAAAGTATCATGTGGTCTCTTGATTTATTGCCTACTTCATCAGAAGTGATATCGATCGAAACTGGTATTTTTTTGGGGTATTCAGTCCTGTTAACAGTGCTGATGGATAATTGCACACTGCGATTACACACGCATGTAGCTGTGAGCGGAATAAATTAATATTTTAAAAAATCAGTTCTCATCACGTGCATAACTGTACATTTCCCAATCACTTTTTTTTCTCCCATTTTCTGAAAGTAAATAAAACAGAATAATTTTTTTAAAGTGTGTTTCTGCAATGGGCTGATTAGTGGACGTTGAATTGTGAAGCATTGTCTTCACCCCTTGTTTTTCCTTTGTGCGCTCCAATACAGAGTGGACTCCCTTCCCAAGGATAAGTCACGGATGTATGCCAGCGACACCTGGACCTCCTCTAACGGGTGCGAGGCCTTCCCTCATTTATCACCACTCTTTGTGTTCTCTCTGTCAGTGCATCCTCGTCAATGTGTATATGTATGGCTGCATGTGCATTTATGTCCATGCATGTACCTCTGCATCTGTTTGGCTGTGTCTACATAATGCCTGTCCCTCTCTCGCATGTACGTATGTGCGTGAAAGTCGATGTATCAGCGTTTCTGGCTCTTTGTCTATTTAAAGTATTTTTTTAATGTTCCCGACATTTTCTTATCTATGTCATCTTAATCATTTTGTTGAAGAATGCCAAATACATATTTTTCTGTTGTATTTTAAGTTGCTCTGGAGGTGGCCAGGTGGCTCGGAGGTCGGATCGCTGAACTGGCACCGTTGAGATCCTGGGCTCGAATCCAGGCAGCAGCCTGTGATTAATCCGGGTCCTCGTGTGTAGCGAGTTCATGGTCTCAGAACATTAACCAGTGAAATAATCATTGCAATAAATTCGGTTTGCTTAATTTGGTTAAATTTCAGTTCTGAGATAGAAAACCATAATCTCGACTGTCCATGCCTTGAACCATTATTCTCTATGGCAGGATAGGTGGGAATGTGCTGCCTCCCCTCCCCACATCCCACTGTATGAATCACAGGTCACTTGAAGGGATTCCAGAAGCTTTGCTTTCTGTGATATCCACTTACATGGGGCAATTCTCTCACACAAAGGGTGGAGGGATGGCGCAGTGGTTAGTGCAGCTTTTTACTGGCCGTCGAACAAAGATGGTCACTGCATCATCGTGTGCTTTCAGATGCACTTCTGCGGCCGTCTGGAACGTTCTTCCTTACAATATTAGGAAGCCACTGGAGCTTTGCACTTTTAAATCTAGATTAAAAACAAATTTCTTAGGAATAGTTGTTTTTTGTGTTTAGTTTCTTGTCTTTCCCCGCACCTCTGATTAGCACGGTTGGCTATGTACAGTGTGAAAGAAGTTCAACATACATATTGAATTGTGCTATGAACCTGGTGACCTGGTTTCGATTGCTGGCAATGGTCAATATCAGTGGCATGTAATATCTGAACTATGCTGGACCCCCTGTATGGCCAAACTGCCACAGTGTGGGGGCATTGGATTGGCAAAGGGGCTGTGCGTCACAATGCATTGCTGTGTGTTCTGACCCATGCAGGTTTTCACCGAAGGTCGTCAAAGCAGCGGCGCAAGTTCTGAGTACCCTGTGGCAGTATCGTGATCTGCGAGCCCTCTACAAGAAGGTGTGGTGTGTGTGTGTGTACTAATCAAGGACCTCTTTCATTTACGTTGCATTCGGCCTCTCTTGGAGCAATTACACAACAGGAGTCATCAATGCATTGCAAATGACAGGTTCTCTGAATATGTCGTATTTTTCATTAGACTTTTTTACTGTTACTTTATAAAAATTTTGTTTATTGGCATCATGTCATAAGACAATGGACATGTTTAATTCAGATCTTTGCAATGCCATACGTTAGAGGAATGGCCAATGCAAGGTGTCACGGAACTAATTCTGAGATTTCGACCAATCGTTTATCATCGGCGCGAGGAGCACTGCACTTCTCCATGTGCTCTCCCATAAAGATGTTCATTGCTTGGCAGAAAACCAACGTGTTTATATTTCCAGAGCTGGAATTTGCTGAAATAATCGAAGAAAATCAAATTAATTATTATTTGTGATGTGAAGTCGCTATGTGTTTCAAAAATCCACGTTGAATAATTCCTGCGGTGTTGATGAGAAGACACTTATACACTATTGTTGCTGCACTCATTTTTACCCATCCGTTCTACTGGCTTCAGTTTACATCAAAGCTAGAGAGCACGTTAAGGCTGGACAAGCCAGTCGGTGACAATTAAGGGCGCATTGAGAAAAAAAACGATTGTTGCGTTACTGTACGTCGTGTTGCGCATGAGTGATGATTATTTTAGATTTCGATTTAAAGCTTTCGTGACTGCAGGGATTCATCTTCCCTTCATTGGCTACCACATTCAGATAAGCCCCTCCCCCTCCTCCCCCCTTAACTTGTATTTAAGATCTTGTCTCTTGGAATTTTGCCTCACTTGATACAGTAAATTTAGCTGTGACGGTCCCACCTGACGACGGAGACTTGTGTTGCCTCCGAAACGTCGATATTTATTATTTTTATTATTTATTTGTATTATTTCTTTTTACCTGCGTAACTTTCCCTTCTACGTGACTTTACCGAAAGAAGCAAGAAGATTATTTTGGACTTGCAGTATTTGTGTGGCGTGTAATAGGTTCACAGCAACCCCTGTAGCCAACCGCAGTTGCGACGTTGACTATAACGTAAACAGAACAAATTGAATTGTAATCTTGTATCATGAAGAGATTTCCGAGGTAATGAACGGCTCGAATAGTTTCATTCCTACGTGAATGGTAAATAAACAAAAGTCGGGTTGTTGGTTCGTGATGCTTATGTATGTGAGCAATGTTGGTCGATTTTTGTACGAGGATTTTAACATTTTAGGCTGCGTCCGCCAAAGTGACATCTAATGTAGCTTCTCGCCTCTCACCCCGTTCGTATCTACATGTAGCCTTGCTCCTCCAATAGGGTGCAGATACCCCACTGGAACAGAAATAGACTCAAAAACATGATTGACAAACATAATGTGAAATACTCTTTGGTTGTTTCGGTAAAGTCACGTAGGTATAAATTAAAATAAATCGCGACGTTTCTGGCGCAACACAAGCGCCCGAAACGTCGTGATTTATTTTATTTCTACTTACGTGACTTTACCGAAAGAACCATAGAGTACGGATTCCTGCAGTCACGAAAGCTTGAAATCAAGAATAATGTGAAATAATGATGAGAGTAATGATAAACAGCTATATTTGGATTGGAAACAAAAAAGCTATACCTCAATAACCGCAGTCATATAAACCTGTAAGAAACTAGTCATATTTTCAGAAGTTGCAAGTTGAGCGATTGTTGCATAGTTTTTGACCTTCGGCAATCTTAAGAGTAGTGCAGTTTTTTTCGTGATGTTTTGTGCAACGCGTTTATTTCCAAAGCTGCTTGGCAAAAATACATATTAATTGAAGGTAGCGTAACTGGAATAACACGGCGGAGTAAGGGATATTTTAGCCAATTACGGAAGGCTGACCTGGATTAAAATGTTGAAAGAAAGTCGTGAGTGGGAGCAGAGATACATTTGATGATTAAAAGCAAAACTACCAATGTTCCTTAAGGAGAAGCCTTGCAGTCGGCATATATTTCCTGTCACGAAATTTGGATTGGAAACAAACACTGACAAATAATGTGGAGAAAAAAGCTGTAAAATTTCTAAAGAAGTGTGGAGAGATGATGCTGGGAATTACAGAGACAGAAATAAGAAGGAATCACTTGGAGAACATGAAATATAGACAATTTTTTGCTGACTGTTGAGACAAGTTCTTTAGTTTGGACAGTACACATTGCTAGATGCAATGATCCCCTGTGTGACTATAAAGAAGTGATCCTGTGTCCCCATCTGTATGTGTTGGTTGGGTCGTGGTCTCATTGTAGCTGATGCACACCATTATGCTCCCTAATCTCTGATAGACCAGTTTCATGAACTGGCTATACCTTACACCTGAATCTGACACGAAAGTCACTTCGTGTATGAATAACTCGAGTGCAGTGGACGAAAAACGAGAATAGTCTCATGTACGGTTTAGCTTTTAAATGTTGTTTAGTCACATTTGTTTTTGTGTTTTTTACTATTGTTTTTATATTTTGCCAGGTAAGGCCCACTGAGCTATATAGCTATTTTTCAGAAGTTATCTGGGCCCAAATGATAGCTCAACCAAGTGGCTGATCCCGTGGAAATGTAAAGTTGGCAGCCGTATACTCAAAACGCACGTTTCTAAATGTGGAGGGAGAAGCCGGAGAAAAATCTTCGCAACTACGGGGAGAACGGGCAAACCAAATATACAGGTGTCAGGGTTGGAATCTCACCCACGACCACCTGCATACGAGCCGAGGTAGTTAACATCTTGCTACCGTGGTGCCCCGTATTACATCTGTGTTACATTATTGTTTTTGCACATTGTATTTGGTATTTAATTACTTCCTTACTGAATAATTATCTCAAATGCCCCCTTTGTTGTGACACCACAAGATCCACTGCATAGGAGGCGCAGTATAAATAACAAATGATGATGATGATGATGAGGTCATCCCACCATGAAATGGGTACCAATCGCTGTGGTGAGATTAGCATTAACACTGGGGAGACCGAGCATGACCAGACATTGGGTGCTGACCGCATGACCGTTTTGTGAATAGCGCCACCCTTAATAGATACTCGCTCACAGCACTTTATGTAACCGTCAACATAGTAGAATGGAGTCTATTTGTAGATTTTGTGGGTAAAGTACACAACCATTTTATCTGGAAATGGAGTTTGGAAAGTATATTTAAATGCCATCTATAAAACAAAATCTTGCCTTGAAAGGAATGACTTCCAATCTTCTACTTTTAAAAAATAGGTTATTCCAAAGCCGCATAGAAAAGTGAGTGAATGATGCTTACATCAGCAGGGTCCCCCATTGATTTTGCTCTAGACGAAGCAATATGAGACAATGTATTCCATTGACGTAAACCCAGCAGCAGTAGACAACTTGAAGCTGTAATGTCTTGGTTGCTTCTGTGGAGAGTCCATTTCAGCAGTGGTTAGATAAATCCATCTCCACCCCTCTATCCATCCCGGGTGTCCCTCTGCCCTTCATTCTTCAGACCTTCGAGTGCTTTTTCTCCCTCCGAAGATATCCTTCACCATGTCCCAGTCATCTTCCTTATCCTCGTCTTCCCCACTCTCTCGCTCTCCTTTTCCATCTGGCAGAATCGACGACCTCACTTGTAGTCTAATTAACACAAAGCATGAGAAATTGCAGCTGTCATGGTGCGGGTGGACTGATTTGTTGGTTAGCCGGTGGATGTGTATGCACGTTTTTCTCGTAGTTTCATACACACTAATTAGTTAAACAAATATACCGTTTCCAGCATCCAGTCAGCCACACTCACCCAGGCGTGCCATCCTTAATTCATACACACGCAAAATGTGCTGTTGCGCTTGCAAGATTAATACGAATGTGCACACATGCCCACACACGACTGCAAAGTCCATGTGATTTGCGCCTCGCACAAAGAATGCTCGCACCCCAGGAGGCTTAAACGCATGCACAACCACACCCTCTCCTCCAGGGAATGCTGCTGTCTACCTCCAATTATTCACATCACACACGCAAGTGGGGCTTGAATGCACACACGCGCAACCGGACCACAAAGTGGCTTGCATATTCAAATGTGCGCAATGTGACCGTTAAGCAATATGCACGCGACCTTGCACACGCAAAATGCAAAGATCCCCCATGCAGCTTGCACAGCCTGTTGGGGCAAGTGCCATTAGTGAGCACCTGTGAACGCCGGCACGTGCCACGAGGGGATTGTGTGTCCAGGGCCGTTACCTGGCCGTCTTTGTCTCCCCAGTGCTGATGTGCACACACACACACATAGACAAATACACACATGTAATCACACTTAAGGAAACAATTTGTCTCCAGTCCCTCAGGGATCTGTTAGGTTCGCTGCAATTGGGGAGCGGTTGCATTCCGACGAGGCACGCCCCCGTACCAGGGAGGGTTGAACATCTCGTGCCGCACCCGGACACACGTGTCCATCCGGCGCGCTGTCAAGCCCAATCTGAGGAACACATTCTATTTAACAGGTTGACCGAGAGCGCGACCTTCACGAATGCTGGACCAATTAGGTGTGTGAGTTTGCAGTGAGCTCGCAAACCATGGCAGAATACGGACATGCACGTGAAGGGTGTACGTACGGGCACGTGCAAAGCGCATGTGAAGTTTGGAAGGTTCCTGTGAGCATCTGAAAAGCCTCCAAATTATTTTTAATGTCACAACGCTGACAAATGAATGTTCTTAGAAAATTCATCCGATGTTGTTTGTCGTGGCTTAAAAATAAACCAATTTTATTCCGAAGCTTGTGATGCCACTGGGACAAAATGCAATGTGCATCCCGTACGTGCATGCAGTCTCATGCAAATGCCGCTCGCACACACTCGCACACACACACTTGTGCACGCGCGCACACAGGCACAAGTGCTCCATTTCCCATGACTAATCAGGCATTCTTGGCGCCTTTAAAGTCTTAGATGTTTGCATTTAACAAAAAAACATGTGCAATATATATAAATTGGCTATACACATTCTAGATGTTTT